CTGTACGTTTTGACATATCATTGAATATGAAATGAGCGACCGATGTCAGGCACAAACCAGCCATTCATATATTAGTGGGAGGACTCATGCTTAGGTATAAAGAGACAAGAAAGCCACATCTCTCAGTTCAGTATTACTGGACGACACAAGTGGATCAGTTCCAACTGGCAGACTTGCATCTATTTCTGATGGATAACACAGATTATCAGCAAAACATCACAGTTCAATACTGTTTTCCGGACAACAATTCATCTTGCAGAAAGGAGGTCCGAACAGGCTCTGGGAATTTATTGCTTTACATTTTTCTCCTAAGTATATCTGTGTTCACTGTGTTTCTGAACCTGCTGGTGATCATCTCCATCTCTCACTTCAAGCAGCTCCACACTCCAACCAACCTGCTCATCCTCTCTCTGGCCGTGGCGGATCTTCTTGTGGGGTTGTTTGTTATGCCTGTGAAAATAATGCAACTTTTTGACTCTTGTTGGTATCTTGGAAAACTGGCATGCTCTGCTTCTGAAATAATTATTGGTCTTTCAGTTTTAGCATCTCTCTACAACCTAGTTTTCATTGCAGTTGATCGTTATGTTGCTATCAGTGATCCTCTACTTTATCCTAGTAGAATAACTGTTTGTAAAATATCTGTGTGCATCATTTTAGGCTGGTCTTTATGTCTGCTGTATCTTATTATTTTTATGTACTTTAATGACCACCTCACTCCATCTCAGATGTACAACAGATGTTATGGAGAGTGTGTAGTTTTTATAAAATTTTCCTGGGCAATCGCTAGTGTGATAGTTTTTTTTCCTAGCCCCTTGCTCTGTTATAATTATCTTGTATTCAATCATTTTTAATGTGGCAAGACGTCAAGCTAAAGCTGTTCGAGCTGTGATGAATGGTGCCTCAAACAAACATGGAGCCAAAGTTTCAAACTCTTCTGAAACTAAAGCAGCAAAAACGCTGGGAATTGTAATTTGTGTTTTTCTTGCTTTCTGGATACCATTTTATGTAAGTTCTTTGTCAGTTACAAGCTTGACAACTTTGTCAATGGTCTGGACAGTGTTTGGCTTCCTAATGTGCACTAACTCTTTTGTTAACCCACTAATTTATGCTATATTCTATCCATGGTTCAGACAATCAGTAAAGTATATTTTAACTTGTAGAATATTTGAATCCTCATCTTCAATGTTTAATTTGTATAGGGAACATTCTAAATTCAAAGCTGAATCCTGCTGACAAAGCTGAGATCACTTCACAGACATTGCCCACATTCAGGACAATGTCTAGAAACTCTTTATTTGTACTTTTATACTATGCCACAAAGCATTGTAGAAATGCATTTTCTAAAATTGTAATATCAGTTTATTTATTTAACAGAAATCTTTGGATCATGTGCAGTTATTTATGTCTGTTCCTTACACTCTGTGATTTGTGTTTTTTGTCTTTTTTGCTCTCATTTATACAGAAATCTCTTTACTTTTTAGTATATTGTGATAAGTCTTTCTCATTTTGAAATAGATAAGATGTTTGAATCTAATAATGCTGCTCTATAATTATTGTGAAATCTGCTAACAGTGCATTGTTTCTTCACTCTGGGTTTTCCTGGTGGGCACAATGACTAAATGTTCGGCCCTTGACTACAGCAGTAATCCCCAGACACTCAGGGTCCTTACTAGGTAAATTTGTTCTTAAATTCTGGGTGAACCCCACCAAAGTAGACTTTAAAAAAATCTAAACTTTAGTTAAAAAAAGTTCATAAGTCACCATCATTTGCCCAGTGCATACAATTGATGTGCAGTATGTCAACACACCAATGCTAATATCTCATACAATAACATGACTTTGCATGTATTACTGTTGTTAGATCACCATTCCATTACTAATATTTATAATTAGCTGTTTAGTAGTTCTGTGAAATGGTCTACACAGAAGTACTGTTGAAAATAAACACTATACAGTCAACACATATCTATATTTCATCAACAAACTGAAAATGTTTTTTAAGATAACCATCTTATAATCAACCTCTGTAAACTTAGTGATGATGCAGTAGCTACAAGTTCTAGTTACTTGAAATTTAAATGAACAGTTTAAGTGTGAAATTTATTTTTATTTTCTTCTTTTACAGCACCAATTGAATAAGATTAATAGAGGTATTGTTCTCTTTTCTTTGTTTATAAAGACAAAAATAAGTACAGTTTGCTCTGCACTCTGTGTCACAGTAATTAATTTGTGGCACGATACAGTTTCTAGATTACATAAAGTTAGCAAACAAAATAGCATCTTGTCTTTAAAATGAATAAGTTGTGAAGTATTTTGCAAGTTAACAAGGTATCTCATGATGACTGACATAGCACTTTTTTACATCATGCAAAAACAATGGCTGGGGGTTGGTCATTTCAATAAAAAGTTTAATTAATAAAAAAAATAAACAGTAAGCAATTCTAGTCCTGCTGGTCCATTCTCCTCCTACACCATTAAGTAATTTATTTGAATTTGAAATCAACTGAAGCTGGGGGGGGGGGCGCGTGGTTCATTCAGGAGGCCATTGCAGTAATCAATCCTGCTAGAAATAAAGGTGTGGAGGAGTTTTTCCAGGTCTGATTTAGACAGAAAATCTCTAATTTTGTTGATGTTCTTGAGGTCATCAGAGGAAAAGGGTAAGGCAAGGCCAGAAACAAGAAAAGCAAACAAACAAAACAAAAGCACATGGCCAGGGTGGTTTTCCAGATAGCTGGATTGACAAACTTTAAAGTCAACCTTAAACTCTGAGTCACCTTAACCTGGCATGTCATATCCAGAGTTCGTGGTTTCTGGAACAGCTGGTCAGTATTTATGTAACCAAGATCAGTCCTAACAGAAGCACCTTCACAACTATAAAACGCCATGCTCATTTGAGCACCTGTAAAAGGATTCACTATGGATGTGAATGACAAAAAGAGTAGATCCTCGTATTTCACACAACTGAGCTAGAAATATGAAATTGAAAGAACAGCTAATAGTAAACATACAACTCAATTTGTAATGAAAAATAAAGCCTGTATTGCTATGTATCAGGGTTTCAGCACTCAGCATGAATCCAAGAGGACAGAAAATCATTAAAAACATGGTAACCTCATAATGATTATTTATTTTTATTCAATTATAAGCAATAGAAGTAACCACCATCAATGTTCTAACATTTTTAGCTCACAGACACTCTAGACTAACATTTTCTGAAAAGTTATCTGAGGTGACAGTTGATTTGAAGATATAGGCAAAATTTTACAATATTTAGCAGGTGCATTTATATGTAAAATAATGGCATATCTGAGTAGCCCATGGTATGCTGAAAATAAAAACATTTGGCATGTGTTGGTGTCTCATATAAGATTTTGTAATTGTAATTGTAATTGACTAAAATACAAATAAATTACTCAAAATTACCCTAAGGCTCTATGAATTAAAGGTAGGTTTAGGTGCTGCAGGTGTATAAAATCACGCTAGAGAATAATGACAAAGAAATAAACTCACTGCCATTTATATTTTTATTTATAAGAAAAAGAAATCATGAAACTCAATAGATATGAAATTGAAAAAAAAAAAAAAGATTCTTACAGGGAAGATGGGGGAAGGTGCAGGGATATAGCCGTTAATATAAGAAATAGTGATTGAAAATTGTGTCTCTGACAACTCTGTCTCTACTGTGGTCAGTCACATGGAGGTGATATTCCTCTTGGGCATATATTTGGGGTATGGCAGGGTGTCACTCTTCTCTGATGGTGGCAATGATGTGCAATATCATACGTCATTTGTGACAGAACAGGTCTGCCAGACTGATACTTACACTAATATTTTAGTATCTAATATATTATACTAATACTAATATTTTCTCTAGTTGTTGTCTTACACGCTATACACACACACTCTCTGTCTCGGTTTTAGCAACACTTACTGCTAAATGACCTACTTATTTCAGTTAAATGCTAGCTTGGTTATTTACCACGGTATCGGTTTAATCTTGTCATACAACTGGGTTTGCTAGTCAGAAGACAGATACTTCTAATAAATGTACACATGCTAATGTTTATATTTACCTGGGGGTTAGCAATTCAGCTCTGACAGAAAGAGTCTGAGTTGTTTACTGGGCTTTTATAGTCCTAGGGCAAGTTTGGGCATGCCCAGTGTGGCCGTGTGGATTAGTCCATGTTAGAGGGGGGAAATAACCCTAACAAACTGTACTTTCCACAACGGACATGACATTCAGTGACAAGCAATGTACAAGACACAGATATTGGGTGAGAGCAGGATATTTTGGAATGTGGAAATTGTAAGCTGGAGGCACAATGATACATGTGAAGGAAGAAGGAACCAGAAACACATAGAAACAATCAGAGGGCACAGCAACAAACAATGCACAGGTGCAGGAGATGGTACAAGGGAGCAAGGGTGGAGCAAAAGTGGATCAAAGACAGAGCAGGAAACCTATATAAAGCAGTAATTAAATTTAGATAAAATTTAAATTGCCATTTATAGGGAGCTGTTACAATAAAGTGTTGGTTAGATTACAATTATTTCATATAAAATGACATCTGATAAGTTAGTGAAGACAAAAATTACGCAATAATAATAAAACATGGACTTGGTTAGTATTTTTTAAATACTGACAATATCCTGCTCAGAAAAGTGTCTTGTGACATGTTGTGATGTAACATATCATAATAAAGATAAATATCTTATTGCCAAGGCCGATTCTCAACCCAGGTCTGAGAACCCGTGCTATAAACTGTTATTTAGAACAGACCCACCATCTTCATCTGTGTTCAGCTGACTGCCACTGTATGTTTTGACATATCATTGAATATGAAATGATCGACCAATGTCAGCACAAACCAGCGATTCACATGTTAGTGGGAGGACTCATGCTTAGGTATAAAGAGACAAGAAAGCCACATTTCTCAGTTCAGTTTTACTGGATGACACAAGTGGATCAGTTCCAGCTGACAGACTTGCATCTATTTCTGATGGATAACACCGACTATCAGCAAAACATCACAGTTCAATACTGCTTTCCTGACAACAATGCATCTTGCAGAAAGGAGGTCCGAACAGGCCCTGGGAATTTATTACTTTACGTATTTCTCCTAAGTATATCTGTGTTCACTGTGTTTCTGAACCTGCTGGTGATCATCTCCATCTCTCACTTCAAGCAGCTCCACACTCCAACCAACCTGCTGATCCTCTCTCTGGCTGTGGCAGATCTTATTGTAGGACTGTTTGTTATGCCTGTGAAAATAATGCAACTTTTTGACTCTTGTTGGTATCTTGGAAAAGTGGCATGCTCTGCTTCTGAAATAATTATTGGCCTCTCAGTCTTAGCATCTCTCTACAACCTAGTTTTCATTGCAGTTGATCGTTATGTTGCTATCAGTGATCCTCTACTTTATTCTAGTAGAATAACTGTTTGTAAAATATCTGTGTGCATCATTTTAGGTTGGTCTTTTTGTCTACTGTACCTTATTGTTTTTATGTACTTTAATGACCACCTCACTCCCTCTCAGATGTACAACAGATGTTATGGAGAGTGTGTAGTTTTTATAAAATTTTCCTGGGCAATCGCTAATGTGCTATTTTTTTTCCTAGCCCCTTGCTCTGTTATACTTATCTTGTATTCAATCATTTTTAATGTGGCAAGACGTCAAGCTAAAGCTGTTCGAGCTGTGATGAATGGTGCCTCAAACAAACATGGAGCCAAAGTTTCAAACTCTTCTGAAACTAAAGCAGCAAAAACGCTGGGAATTGTAATTTGTGTTTTTCTTGCTTTCTGGATACCATTTTATGTAAGTTCTTTATCAGTTAAAAGCTTGACAACTTTGTCAATGGTCTGGACAGTGTTTGGCTTCCTAATGTGCACTAACTCTTTTGTTAACCCACTAATTTATGCTATATTCTATCCATGGTTCCGAGAATCAGCCAAGTATATTTTAACTTGTAGAATATTTGAATCCTCATCTTCAATGTTTAATTTGTATAGAGAGCATTCTAAACTCAAAGCTGAATCCTGCTGACAAAGCTGAGATCACTTCACAGACATTGCCCACATTCAGGACAATGTCATAAACACAAGCCTAGAAACTCTTTTTATTTGTACTTTTATACTATGCCACACAGCATTTAATGTATTTTTTCTAAAATTAATATCAGTTTATTTATTTGACAGATATCTCTGGATCATGTGTAGTTATTTATGTCTGTTCCTTACACTCTATGGTTTCTTATGTTATTTGTCTTTTTTGCTCTCATTTATACAGAAATCTCTTTACTTTTTAGTATATTATGATAAGCCTTTTTTAAATAGATAAGATGTTTAAATCTAATAATGCTGCTCTATAGTTAATGTGAAATCTGCTGACAGTGCATTGTTGTGGGGGTTGCTTGTGGGCACAATGACTAATTTTCTGCCCTTAACTACTGCAGTTCTCCCCAGACATCTAGGGCCCTTACTAGCTACCTTACTAGGGCCCGTTGTTCTTAAATTCTGGGTGAACCCCACCAAAGTAGACTTAAAAAAATGTAAACTTTAGTCCCAGTGCCCAGTGCTTTTGGCCATCCTTACGTGTCTTTTGCTGTGGTCATTTCAACATTTAATGTAACATGATTAATTTGTAGCATTTTATTTTAAAATCAGGAGCAAAGAAAAGAAAAGCAAAGGACTGGTGATGTAACACATGCTTTTACTTAGCTTCACTAATTGCATAGTAGGCCTATGCAATTAAAAATTATGAAATTTATGATTATGTAAAAGAAGTGCGGATATGTTGTGTCCCTCTTTTGGAGATCTGAAAACACAGCATGCTTTTATTTTTATTAATAAAATCCCTTATACCGTCTATCAAATATTCATATATTTGAAGATTTACACAATCAATAGAGGTGCTCTGCACTTTCCATTCATGAAGGCATCCATTGAGGCAAAGCTGAACCTACAGCTGATTGAAAAGACTACATGATTTGAAAAGACTCGAATGCTGTTTATTGACTTTTTAATATTCAGTCACTTCATTCTCCTGATGCCAGTAAATAAACCCACCTCCTACAGTCTGCTGTGCATGAAGTCCACATTGGATAATCACATTATTAAACATGCAGTAGGTTAAGACAGCAATGTTAATATCTCATAGTACAACATGACTTTGAGTGTATTATTGCTGTTATATCACCATTACATAATCAACATTTATTATTAGCTGTTGTTAATAGTCTTCTGAATGGTTTACACACAAGTACTGTTGATATGAAATACTACACAGTCAACACATATCTATGTTTCATCAAACTAAAAATCTTTTTTTTTCAAAGCCATTAGATTTGATAAACATGTTATAATCAACTCACTGTAATCTTACTGATGTTTCAGTAATATGTAATGATAGGTATTTCTAATGATGTTATAGCTACTCAAAAATTAAAACAGTCTAAGTTTAAAATTTATGTTCATTTTCTTTTACAGTACTAACTCAATATTAATAGAGCTATTCTTTTTTATTTGTAATAAGATAATTTAGTCTTTGTTTACTATTTATCATTTATATGTTTGATGGACTGTGTGTTGAAGGGATGTGAAGATTGCTGTGCAGCACTCCTGGATGACATGGTATTCTTCAGCTCTAACTGGGAGGACCACCTCAAATACCTAGAGTCTGTTCTTCAATAGATAGCTGCTGCTGTTTAAATGTAGAAAAGTGTGAATGGGGGCCAGACAGAAGCATGATACCTAGGCTATCAATTAGGAAGAGAACTGCTCAAACCACAGCTTCACAAAGTGGAGGCCATCAGGACACCACAGCCTCACATGAAAAAGCAAGTTCATTCCTTCCTGGGTTTAGTCTTTAAAGTCAGCTCCACTAATCGAGCTGACTCTGAAGTCTGCAAAAAAATTCTGTCCACTGGACAAATGACTGTGATCAGGCGAGTTTCAGGGACTCGATTCTCAATGGTACGTCCCTAGTGGAGAGCCAAACTTGCTGCCTGGGATGGTTGGTGGTCCTCTGCACTGCTACAGCCTACCACGGTGCAACATGGGCTCTCCTCTAAGAGCAATGACACTGCCTAGCATAGTCACGGGCTACGGGGGCCTTGATATCAGACTCCTGTTCTGGGAACAAGGGTGGAAGGTACCCAAACTGGCATTCAAATGGGGACATGCCCAGAGAGGAGTGCCAAAGGGAGTTATGGGCATACTCCACCCATACCCATACTGTGCTCAGACTTTGACCCCAGTTCTTTGAGCCCAGTTGGTAAGAAAGAACAAAACAGAGCCGACTGAAAAACTGTCCTGTTAAAGGGCAGGTTCTTGTAGTCCGTCCAGACCAGGAAGGGATGTCTGGCACACTCCAGCCAGTGTCTCCACTCTTCCAGAGAAGCTTCACTGCTAACAACTCATGATAACCAACATCAAAGATTGCGCTCAGGTGTGGTGAGCCAGTAGGAATAAAATGTGCAGGGGCAAAGTTTATTATCTTGCCTAGAGTGCTGAGGTAAGACCACCCTATGCCTACATCAGAAGCATTGACCTCTACTATAAATGGTACGGTGGGGTTGGGATGTTGCAGTACTGGAGCAGAGGTCAAAAGACGCTTCAGTTCAGTGAAAGCCCTCTGGGTTTCCGAGGTCCACAGAAAATGCCCTGTGCCCTTCTTAGTCAAGGCAGTTAGCGGAGTGGCTAACATACTAAAATTCCGTATGAACCTACAGAATAAGTTGGTGAAGCCAAGAAAGTTTTGGACTAGGCAAACAGACTTGGGGCAGGGCCATTTACTGTTGGCCTGAATTTTTGCCAGGTTCATGCTCAGCCAGTTTCTGCACTCATAAAACTGAGAAAACGAACCAAATATACATGGAAGATGGACTTCTCCAGTTTCACATAGAAGTGGTTCTCAAGTAAGACCTGGGGTACCTGGTGAATGTGAACTATATGCTTGTCTACTGAATGCCTGTAGATAAGGATGTTGTCTAGGTAGGCAAATACATGGTGGTCAAGGGTCTCATGAAGGACCTCGTTAATGAAGCACTGGAAGACAGCTGGAGTATTCATCGACCCAAACCGCATTATGAGGTACTCATAATGGCCAGAGGGTATGATGAAAACTGGCTGATGAGTTCATTCAGGGTCTTAGGTACGTCCCAAGGTGACCAGCTCATTCAGCTCATCATTGAGACCCTGCTGGTACATGGCCATTAGGATTTTTTTTTTTACATCCTACCTGCTGTCAGCATCCAGGGTACAAAACTTGATAGTGTATTCCACCACTGAGTGCCCTGCCTACGGTGGGAGAGACGAGACCCAAGCACTTTTCCACAGATTGATTGATTAAAAGTGCACCACATAGCTGCCATAAACAGTTCTGAGAAGGAAAAGGCAGGGGCCCGATCAGTGAGTAGCAAGATGATCAATGTTACTTTGCTCAGTGGGAAATCTCGAGGGCTGCTGCTTGAATGCCATGTTCAACCCCCTACAATGCCCAGGTTCACTACTATAACACTCAGGAGCAGGCAGACTAGATTCTGCTCTATATCTAGGTGGCTTAGCTGATGGAATCTCAGGAGGACGGGTGGTGGAGCTGGAGTTTCCACTGGTTGGGCTTGAGCAAGGGCCCCCAGCAGCTGGTTTATTTTTTGCTGCTGGACTTGTTCATGGTGACCAGTAGCTGCAACCTGATTAGCTAGAGCATTGCAGAACTGCTGTAGCTGTGATTGTTCTGCTGAGTCCATTTTGCTGGTTCATTCTTGCTGTAATGAGCCCAGGGGGTTCACCCTGAGTAAGGATCAAACTCACATGCTATGAAGTGTGCTGCTGAAGGGGGATAATGGCCATGCTAAATAAAGACTTAAAAGGATGACCCAAACTAAGAGCTCCCCAAAACTGACACCAAAAAACTCCCTTCTTTGATCTCACCCTCGCCTCTCCCTAAATTCAGAGAATGAGAAGCACTTTTTTAGGCATTTTTTTAAACTTATGCTTAAGAACAACTAGAGAAAAGCAAAGATTTGAAACTTGAGAGAGATACCAAGACTACCGGATATGTCAGAGCAATGTGCTTGTAGCAGCGTGAACTCAAGACTGTGTGCTGAGCAGCTGCTACCACTTAGCCATAAGTACTCAGTCTGGAGGTCGCCTAGCAGGCTGCCTGGACATTACAATTGTTTATGTGTGTAAACTTAACCATTAGGAGGTAGACTACAAAAGGGATTGTAATGTTGTAATTCGCTTTATTTTCACATTTATTTTTCTAAAGTGTTGTATTTGTACACTTTTTCCGCCTTTTGCTGCAGAATAAACACTCTTGTGAATGTGCTATTTTGGTCTGCCAGTATTCCTTGGATACCCATGGCCTTGGTCTACACTATCCTCACCAGAGCTAGGTGCGACACCATTATAATGTTACATGCCCTCTCTGGGGTGACCTTGGGGTTATGGTGTCATAGAATAGGGCAAGCAGTGATGCCCTTTGTCTGCAAGGAGAAGGCTGACATATAGTCCTGTAATCGCACAGTGAACTGCAATGATTTAAAGATGCAACATTACAATGAATGTGTACCATACTTCTAGCAAAAGTGCCATAGGCATACCCTGATCAGATTTGTTATTTAGTGTAGACTCCTGAAAAATCTGCCAATCATGGACAGAGCCTGGCCATTTGACTCCAACATTTGTGATGATGTGTGTAGCATCAAATACACAATGTAGACAAAAGAATTGGGACATCCCTCCTAATTAATGAGTCCAGGTGTTTCAGCTACACTCATTGCTAACAGGTAGATATGATTAATCACATAACCTGACAGTCCTGAGAGACAAACACTGGCAGTAGAATGGGTCGTACTGATGAGCTCAGTGACTTTAAACATGGCACTGCCATTGGATGCCACTTCTGCCACAAGTCAATTTGTGAAATTTCTTTCCTGCTAGATCTGCCCCTGTCAACTGTAAGTGTGGTTATTGTGAAATGAAAGCACAATGGAGCAACAACAGCACAGAAATGAAGTGGTAGACCACACAAACTTAGAG